TTTTTTTTTTTTTTTTTTTTTTTTTTTTTTTTTTTTTTTTTTTTTTTTTTTTTTTTTCAATTCAATTTCAACATATTTCCGCTGTTTCATCGGTCGAATTCTGGACAATATTGGTTTTTTTTTCTTTTGTTATTAGTTTTTTATTCACATTTGTTGGACTAGTTATGAATATTGTGATGAAAGATTATACAAGAGGAAATATGGTTTTGAAATTTAAATTTGATAAAAATCAAATCGACACTTGTCATATTGAAAAATATAGGTCGAAATTTAAATAATTTTATACAAGCTTTTTTATATTTCATCTTTTTCTTCGTTTTATCGAACAACAATAGTATGACTTGCGAATAATCTGGCTGGTAAAATTCAACTACTTGTTGAATCTGACCCTGAATCAAGATCCGATCGAACAAGTCTACTTATCCTTCGATATAAAATCAACATAAAAGGTCTATTAATAATCCGTTTCTTCGGACGGTGTTCATATAATTTCATAGTTTTTATTACACGAACAAATCTGATGTAGCGGAAAAAATAATTGATTCCATTCCAAATGGGATAGACTTCCATGTTACTTCATCATACTCGTGTATGATAATTAATTCGTAGCCTTCTAAAAATCTTGCAAAAAACATCCATATCCATAAATTTGTCCACTCGTTTTTCTTCTCTGATATCATCGATTTTCCTTAGTTTCCAATCCACACGTATTCTCGCATAATCTCTTTCCCTTCCCTCCCCCATATTGCTATCTCTCTCGCGCACGCAGAGGCCGTACACGTGTTCGACGTTGCTCTCTGTCCTCCCAACGATCTCTGGCTGGTACGCGACTCGCACGCGCGTACCCTTGCCAGGAACACTCCTGGGAAAAGGTCAGACAGTCAGAGGCCCAACCTACGAAGTGAAATTAGGTCAACCCCTGATGGTCGTTCGTGCATGAATTCCCTGTTTCTATCTCTCTCTCTCTCTCTCTCTCTCTCGGATAAGGAAGAGACCTTGTTGCGCTTGTCTATCTCACTCGTGTAGCCCGCAGGCTTTCTCGAAAACCGTGCACGTAATAGTTTATACTCTCGGCCGTAGAGAAATAGGTCACGTGGTTTAGAAATCGAAGGGATGAAGCAACACATTGTTGCTTCGAAAGTGTGACATAAGAAACGTAAAAGTACAAAAATACACTGCAATAAAAGTTTATTAGTTGATGAAATAATTTAGGCTCAAAGGACTTCATTTAGAAGAAGAAGTTTTGTTATTCGCTTCAAATTGTACGATGGAATAAGAATTTCGAAATTAATATTGATTAATCTTATGATTATTATATAAGAGACGATGATTTAGAATTCGAGCAATGTTTTAATATAATCTCCCGCGTCGAAAACGGGATGTTTGATATACGTGTTACATATTTGCCAAGTTGAATCATATTGAAGAAGGGTAATAGAAAATTAACAGTCAACCCGAATAGAGAGTGCCTCTTGATAAGCCAAGAGCAATTTCGTCGATATTTTATCAATTATTCAAGCGAACCAGAGGCATAGATGGACGGTGTATCCTTGGCCCTATTATCGAGCAAACTATGGTGCCCTTAATATGCTCGAAGGTTAAGCCTGGCCAGTTATAAAGACGTCTCTCCTGAGCGCAAGAAACGAAAGCTGATTATCAATTAATCGATAAAAAGAGGTGTCTTTCTCAACAACCATCCGGTGTTTTCTTCAGAATAACTTCAAAAGGGAAATTTTAATAAATTTCTAAAATGTTTTCTTAAAGATTCCCCAATTCTGACATATCTCAAATATTTACATAATACTCTCAAATATTCTTCTTCTTTCATTAATAAATATGAAAATCTAATTTTATTTTGCAAATATGCTTTATCATCATCTCATCGAATGCCAGCAA